TTTTTAACTTCCTTGCATGTGACTGAGAAAAAAGGTACATTCATCACATAGGTGTTAGCGTATGGATCACAATAAAGGACTTGGAAGTGATGTATCCAAGTACTTGAGGGGATGCTACATTGCAATCGTGTAATGGTGTTATGGGAACAATTTGTTATAGTCTGCCAGAATAGGGAAGGATTTTTAGACTTTGTAGCTTCTATTAGCTGTGACCATTTTTTTCTTCTTATCTTGGTTTGTTTGTTTGTTTTTCCTTTCTGAGCAAAGCCTTATCTTGTCTTTTCTGCTCCTTTAAAATTTGGTTGGAATCTGGTGAATTGGCCTTCAGCAAGATAGCATATGATTCCAATAATGCAGCTTTGGCAGCAATGCAAGATTTGTCAAACCAACTCCTAGAGTGCCATCCCCTCCTGATTGGGTTGGTATTTGCCTTCATTACAAAAGGTTGGAGCTTAGCTATGAGATTGTAATATACATCAAGTATTCTGGTACACAGTTGGGTCTGAGTGTCCCCAAAGTAACAGAGCGTTGAAAAATATGCACTTCCTTCCTCTGAGTGAAACCATTGGGCTATCCTATTTTCAAGGGAGCCATTCCATCTGACCTGGTAAGAGCTGCCTCCCATCAGGCTTTTTAAACAGGCCTTAACTAGGTTCCTAATTAGGCCTTGTCTAAATTTGCAAGTGAAAGGTGGTGCTTTCAGGCCTAGGGACTATGCCAGAGTACTTAAGGTAAGGAGCCAGTTCTCTAGAAATTATTAAATAATCTATGGTGGATAACTTGTGAGCTGTCCAAAATGGATATTGCCCAGGGAAATAATTTTGGACAGAGCCATTTAACATTTGTAGGTTAAGCCTATTTATGAGATGTAGCAACCTAAAGCTAGCTAGGTTATATTCTGTATCTTTGAAGGATCTCAGCATAAATGGTGGTTCAATTACTTCTTCATGTATTAAAACGTTCATAGAGAGGTTTTGAAACGTTCACAGAGAGCTTCATCATTACAACCAGCTCTTGCATTGAAATCCCTACCTATTCGGATATACTGTATGCACCAGAGAACTTATTCAGGCAAAGAGTGAGGAAAGAATCAACCTGGTTCCAGGTTTGGGTGACCTGTGAAAAGAGCTGCTAAGGAGGAAGGTAGAAATTAAAACACAGTAAGGAAAATTGGTCAAAGGCTTAGAAAGCTGATACAGCATTCTCAAAATGAGGTAGTAGCACAATAGACAAGCAGTACTACACTGCCTCTCACAACTCCTTCACCATAGAGTATATTCCAATGAGCTTATAGAAAATTCCTGGCTTCCCAGTTGGCATGGACTCAAAAGAATAGGCATTTCATGCTCCCTTCAGTGATTTTTAGACTTAGAAATTTTGTAAGGGGATTTCAAATCATGCCTATACATGTCTTTCACAATAGCAGTGTATGGCCTCCGCTAAATTCTGGGAGGAGAGCCAAGCCTATGAGGGAGGATGGCATAAGCCCCAGCGTTCATAGTCTCAGCCAGCAACTATCTACACCACAGAGTGTTCCACCAACTCCAAGGTCAGGACCAGATAAGGACAGGAGGCACAACACCTTTGATTTAATTAAAGGGAAGATATAGACATCAGTTGACCCTATGTCAGGCCCAGCCCAAGAACGACAACGAGGCAGTCCAGTCCAGTTCAGTTCCTTTATTAGCTTGCACCTGATAGACAGAATCTCGCCAGACTAAACCTATGCTAAAGCAACTAGTGGCTGTACCCTGTGAGACTCTAAGGAGGGGCCAGTCTCAGCTTCTTCACCTTGTCATGGTCCTGCTGTGGGCTGAAGAAGCACTTGCTCAGGACTGCTCCCCCTCCCTCCTGGTAACCTTGATCCTCCATTCCAGTATTCTTCTCACACATGCCTTCCATTAGATCCTATGGAGGATGAGGAAGAACTAGCTCAGTTGTTTGGCACTCTTTCTGCAGAAGAACAGCAAACAATTATATGCAAACCTGGGGCAGTTAAATCAATGCTTCAGTCAGTGACTGCTGCAACTGAGTCCTTCAACACTTTATTGCCCCCCAGCTGTCCTCCTGTTGAAATGCTGACAAGTTCATTCTCTGAATGTTTAACAGCCCCAAAAAACAAAAAAAGAAGGCACTGCAGCCCAAAACTCATTCAGAGGAATGAAGGAACATCAAGTTGATCAATGTAACACAATCCTTCTGTAACCTCCCAAATGATCAGCCCACAGTTGATAATACCTTACAAATGGACTCTAAAGAACAGACTAGTCAAACTGCAGCTCCATCCCCACTGGCTCTCTCTGTATGGATCCTGATTCTATTCATCCAATGGCCGCTGCATCTACCAGGTGCTATTTCTCCTTGGTCTATTTATAGCTTCCAACTTATATGTTCTGTCTTC